ACATGTCACCTGTCCTATAGTCTTTCTTGGCTTCCTCCCACATGTCTATAGCCAGGATACTCAGGAGGTCTCCCCGAGTCAAATAGGATATCTGTTAACCCGGGAAGAATCCATAGTCTTATGGAAACAAAATCATAACCTCTTCCCCAACATAATACATTTTTGACTTCCATTTTAAAGTTAAGGCATTCCTAAAGTATAAAGGTTGGTTTAATTCAGCAGTCCCTTCCACAATACAATGTCTCTCAGCAGCTCTTGTCTGTTCATTAGCATTCAAAAAAATTCAAAATTCACTAAGTACCTAAAGTCCAAACTCACTGTGTTATATTTCCCTTCCTTACGTGGCTTACTTTTTCTACTACCTTGCTTCTCTCTCTCTCTCTCTCTCTCTCTCTCTTTTTAATGATTGTCTATATCCTTTTTCTATTCTTTAAGCCTAAGCAGATTGTTAAACACACTGTACCCTGTTTAGAGTTTTTTTTTTCCCCCAACTGAACCTGCTTTACTGTGTATCTGTAACCTTTTCTGTCTTCATGACCAAAACCTTAAGCCACTGGGCAGCTTAGCTCATAGCTGGAGATCTGTACTGCAGCCTGCATGAGAGACTGCAGGACTAGGAAGCTGCATTTGGCTCTGTTTCTGTGTGTTTGGAACCTTTTTTGAAAAGCCTTCACAGGTTTTATATAGAAATATGTGGCCCCCACATTGGGTGCCATTTGTAGTCAGTCTTTTTTGTCAGGACCTTTGCCTTGCCAATAATGACATGTAGACTTATTATTAGTTATGAAACTTCAGTTGATGGCTTAGACTTGTTTCTAACTAGTTCTTATAATTTAAATTAACCTATATTTTTTAGTCAATGTTCTTTTATGTGGTTCAGTTACCTTTACCCTGTACTGCCCATGCTGCTTCCTCCAAGTCTCCTGGAATCGCCACCCTTCTTCTCAGTGTGTTCTGTGCCTGGAAGTTCTGCCTAGCTATCAGCGTTCAGGTTTTTTTTTTTTTTTTTTTTAAACCAATGAGAGTGACACGTCTTCACAATGTACAAAGAAACTATTCCACAACAGTTGGTGGACAGTGCATTGTCTCTATGGTTGAATATTGTGAAACATATTGCCATGAACACAAGTATATAGGTATCTGCCATTTTCCCACTTGGGAATTTTGTAGTATATACATTGGAATGGAATTGATAGGTCATGTGACAGTCATTGCTTAACTTTTAAAAAAACTTGTAGTTTTCCCATTACTCATTCCATCATACCTTTATCAGCAAAGCATCAGAGTTCCAGTTTTTTCACACCTTTGCCAACATGTTCTTTTCTCTCCTGCTATTAGGATTGAACCCCAGCTTTGTGCATGCTAAGCATTATTCCCTACCTCTGAATTTTATCGCTAAATATTTATTTTATTTGTTTTTTTGAGACAGTGTCTCTTTCTTAGCCCAGGCTGCCTTGGAACTCACTATTAAGCCCCAAATGGACTTGAACTCATACTGGGTATGGGTGTTTTACCTGCATGTTTGTCTGTGCTTCATTTGCATACTTGGTGCCATCAGACATCAGATGAGGGTGTTTGATCCCCTGGGACTGGAGTTACAGAGGGTTGTGAGCTTCTGTGTGGGGTGCTGGGAACCAGCCCCAGGTCCTTTGCAAGCACAAACAGTGCTGTTAACCACTGAGACATCTCTCTAGCCCACAGACTTGAACTCTTGCAGGCCTTCTGCCTCAGCCTCTCAAGTGCTAGGATTACAATTATGTGCTACCACATCTACCCTGTATTTTTGCTTGTTTGTTTGCTCAATTAAGGGACCATGGCTTACTAAGTTGATCAGGCTTATTTCCTAGGGATAGGCAGGGCTGCCTTCACTAACTGAGGACAGGGCCTGCTGAACCTTCCTTGGCATGTCACATTGTGAGATTGGGCCAGTGAATCTTTACTCTTCTCCATCTTTTTTTTTTTTTTTTTTTTTTTTTTTTTTTTTTTTTTTTTTTTTTTTTCTTGAGACAGGGTCTTTCTGTGTAGCCCCGCTGTCCCGGAACTGGCTCTGTAGACCAGGCTGGCCTTGGACTCAGAGAGATCCGCCTGCCTCTGCCTCCCAAGTGCCAGAAGTAAAGGCATGCCCCATCACCAACTGCTCTCCTGTCATTTTTTTTTTTTTTTACCCCAGCATGTATCTGCAGAATTCTGGATAGGTTCTTTGCTAGACAGTTTCATTACAGTTCTCTGTGAGCCCAGGATTCACTGTCAAGTTTACCCTCAAGAGATGCCTGTGCTCCACGTCCAAGACAGGAATCATGTAGGACCGGAGTCAGAATACCGGGTGGCTGGCTACCTCAGGTACTTACCGCATGTGGCCTCAGGCAATCAAGTCCTTTCTCTCCTCTGAGCCTGGGGTTTTCTAGCCTTCCTTCCTTCCCTCCTTCCCTTTTGAGTCAGGGTTTCTCTGTGTAACTGTCCTTGAACTGTAACAATCCTGTCCTGGAATTCGATTTGTACCTTGAACTCAGAGATCCATCTACCCCTGCCTTCTGAGTGCTGGAACTAAAGGTGTGCGCTGCCACCGCACAGCCAAACTGAGCTTTTTCTTAGAGTCCTAAATTTTGCTACCAAAGGGGTCTCTAAATCTTGCCCCTCCCACAAACGGTTCTGCCTCCAGTCCTTCCAGCCCTGAAGCCTCTGGACCTTGAACCCAGGCCCTCGCACAGGCTAAGCCAGATCCTTATCACTGGGCTACTCCCACCCCGGGCCTGCATTTTTATGTCATCAATCCTGATCATTTGATCTTTCTTGGGCTTAAGCCCTTTTTTCCCTCTCCCTTTGGCTAATGTTCTTGGTTGATCCCTCATAAACTCCACCCAACTGTCACCATCTGGCCACAGTGGGGCTCTTTTAGGCAGTCTCTTCTGTTAGACTGCTTGTGCCTGGTGACTGCCTGTCCCTGTACGGCCCGGGGTGGCAGAGTCTCCCCTCCCTGCTTCCGTGGCGGCGAAAAATATGCTCAGCATCTGACACTGGTCCAGCCGCAGCGACGTTAAGGAACGCGACCCCGAGGCCCCGCCCCGGACGCGCCCACAGGCGTCAGGGAGGCTGCTTACCCCGGGGACAGAAACGAGCTCCTTCGAGGTAGACGTTTTTTGGCCGGGCCGCAGCAGCACCTGCCTCAAGGCGCCCAGCTC